GTTAAAAACTACAAACCGATATCAATCCTTTCTGTTTTCAGCAAAGTACTGGAGTCTCTTATATCCGATTATCTATTGGTACGTAAGACATCTTCTAATACCAGACCGGTGTTTGTAGATCGAGAGTTGACAAGGTCGTGCTTGTCAACTCTCGATCTACAAACACCAATTTAGCTAGGTATGTAACCGAGTTAGTGACTGCTATATTGACGATTCACGAGCAGTTGCTGACGTAATTTACACCGACTTCAGCAAGGCTTTGGATAGGCTTTATTTATTTATTTAAACCTTCATTACCTTCAAAACAGTAAATGGCGGACTTAATGCCATAGGCATTCTATACCAGTCAACCAGTAAATGTGTAGGAGATGAAATGCTATGGCGATAGAATATGAGCTACTAAGCAAGGATCAATATTAAAAAAATAATTTTATGCTACTTATCTGTACTATAACAACAATAAATACATACATACACTAAATTAGTAAAAATAAATAAATATGATGACATATAGATGACTACAGATTAAGAGAAAAATAAGGTTGTGTGCACGCACTAGTTTTTTGAACTGTAACTTACTATGTGCACTGCGAATATTCAGTGGCAAAGCAATCCAAAGACATATAGCTATAATGGTGAAAGGTTTGAAAATGAAACCAGAATGGTGAAAAATAGTTTTAAGGGTCAGGTAAGATGCTTGCAAAAGCAAAGATCACGTGCTCTGTGGCACGTAGATCGTATAGAACACTGAAAAGCATGCATAAAATTCTGAGTTTATTTCCATAGTGGGATATATGGTCGTACATACGTAAGCCGAAGATGAAGCGAATACCGCTGTTGAGCAAACGATCCTGCTTAGAGAGAAGGTTTTGAGTGGTGTCAGAATAGCAGACGTCAGCATAGTCAAGGATAGGCAGAACGAGAGCCTGTACCGGCGAAACCTTTGTAGTGGAAGGGAGAAAGAATTTTAATCTGTACAGAGCCCGAAGTGTATTAATTATTTACGGCATACTTCTTCAACTTGATTCTCCCAGCTGAGAATACAGTCTTTTAGTAGGCCCAGATTCTTGACACACGATTGAAATTCAATTGCAGTACCATTGTATAGTAATGGTTTCAGTGAACCCAAATCCAGAAGGGCCATCTGCCGGGAACTAACAAAGATACCATAACAGTTGGACCATTCCGAAATCCTCTGAAGATCATTATTAAGGCGTATGAGGGCCTCACCTAAACTATTTTTATCTGCATGAACATAAAGTTGGAGATCGTCAGCATATAGATGGTAAGAGGAATTAATCATAGTACTAAGGAAATTAATTAATAAAGAAAAAAGAAGAGGAGAGTGAATACCACCCCGTGGAACACCAGCAGTGAGAGCGCACCAGTCCAAGATGGTCTGGTCTACCCGAACAGCCTGCTGGTGTCTACGAAGATAAGATGAAAACCAGGTCCCAACTGAAAAAGAAAGTCCTACTTGTGAAAGAATTACGAGGAGAATATCATAGTTGACCATGCTGAATGCGTTTAAGAAGTGTATTAGGACCATAACAGTCAACTGCGAATTCTCCATACCGCTAAAAATAATAATAATTTTAATAATAATAAATTTATTTATTGTCACGTCGTCACGGACATTTGATAAGGGCAGTAGTTGTACTGTGACCTGGATGAATTTGTCGCAGTGGCAACGCATTGACGCTTTCAACCCGCCGGCTGACGCCCGACGGGGATATGCGAGACTCCCCCGTCAGGGTCCTCTCCCGGCAAATACCGCGGAGGGTCCCCAACAGAAACTACCCGCTAAAACCACTGCGTGCACCCTCTGTGGGTGGATGAGGCCTGGGGATGGAACGAGCCAGTTCGCCAGGCCACCACCCCCATTTGTGGGGGGCTGATAAGGCCCCACCTCTCGGGAGGGGGAGGACTAAGTCAACTAGTCGATCCCCCAGACAAGCGGGTCCGTGTAATGCGCAGACAGGATGCCAAACCGCCCGCGCTGGTCCCTTTGGAGGGAAGGGCCGCGCAACTGTGTGATCGCGACCCCCCTCTCATCTAATCACTGAGGAGACCCGCCTAGGCTTACCCCTCGCAGGTCCCTTCTCCGATGACTGCAATACCTGCACGACGCACAGCACGGTGCGCATCTGCGTCCACCCACCTTCCCACCAAAAGACGGAGCGTGCCCCAGGAGCCGTTCGTCGTCAGGCACCGCCCCTTCTGTGTAGCCGCAACACAGCACCTCTGAATAAAAATAATAATAAATTTAAAGAAAATATAACTAGAAAAAATTCCACGCGGACCAGGCAGCAGACGGGACTCGAACCCGCACCCTTCGCAATCCGGGCGAATGCACTGACCAATTATGCTACCGCGGCCCTCACGGACCGCGTCGAAATTCTTCTAGCCATTCTTAAGCTGCAAGGCAGCGCCATTTCTTCGCATTGCTTGCGGTCCGTGAGGGCCGCGGTAGCATAATTGGTCAGTGCATTCGCCCGGATTGCGAAGGGTGCGGGTTCGAGTCCCGTCTGCTGCCTGGTCCGCGTGGATTTTTTTCTAGTTATATTTTCTTTAGATTTAAAAATCAAGCAGTTACATGCTTAAAAAATTAAAATTATAAATAATAAATTTATTTATGTCTTCTTACAACAATTAAGGCACATAAAATACAGGTTAAGCAACACTTAAATAATATTATTAGGCGTTATAAGAAGCTGGTGTCCGAAATAGGCGTCAACCTGTACTACCGATCACCAGGTCCTTACCCCTGGCAAATGATCTCTAAACATTGTTCTTCATAACCATAATGACCCTGTATTACCTAATATTTATTAATGGTAAATACAAAAAAAAACAAAAATGGTTGAGAGATAAAAAACAAAACTTAATCGTTTATAAATTGCATGGTAGTTAATTATTTTTTATTATAAGCAAAAATTTGGTCACATATCAGAATTTATTTTAGATGGCTAAGTAGATTTTCTGTTTCTGAATAGCTTAATGCCTGAACCCAGTCTTTTACAACTTTTTTACAAGCTGCTACTGTTAACGGATATATCATTAGTTGTTTATTAACTTTATTGTACAAATTAATACCCTGATAACAAAAAAATCAGTGCGCGAATACAGTATTACATCTTTTTATTTGGCTAATATTTCCTTTTCTACGTGTATTTTTATTTGGATCATATGTCATTACTGAATGTTGTTTTAATACGATTTGGAGAACAAAAAGCTGCCGAACGGTTAATACCTTGCATCTCCTATAGAGCTCCACCGTCGAGTAATAGAATGAATAACCTACTTTTAGTATGACTCTCTGAGCTCTTTCCAATTTTAAAAGAGTGGTTTTTGGAACACCTCCTCAGTTAGTGATGCAGTAGGATAGTAAAGATTGACAAAGCGCGTAGTAAACCGACTTTATTACATTATCTTCAGCGACATGTCTTAATGATTTAAATATTACGATTAGTTTACGTAGTCTTGCTGTGATCATATCTATATGGTTTTGGAAGTTAAGTTTTTGGTCAATGATGACACCCAAATAGCTCAGTTCTTTGGAGACGAGTACAATTGCAATCACTGCCTGTAATATTACCACAATTATGGTAAATTAAATCACATTGTGATACTAAGGATTTATCATGTCTCAAAGAGAATGCTATATATTTGGTCTTTTCGACATTGAGTGTTAGGATATTATTGTTTAACCATCTTGCTACTATATAAAATCCGTTTTGAGCATTCGCATATACCTCGTCCCAGGAGTCACCACTAAAAAGTAAAGCTCTGTCATCAGCAAAAGTTACAATTTTCCCATGTAGTAGATCTTTTTGACACAGATCATTTATGTAAGTCAAAAACAAGGAGGGTCCCAGTATACTTCCCTGTGGTACGCCGTAAGTTACAGGTAATTCGTCACTGAGTATCTCGTCTATCTTCACACACTGAGTGCGATTTTTTTTTAATTCGGTAATAGGTAAGCGCTTGACCATAATTCGCCTGATGAAAAGCAATATTATGGTCTACGATGGAGATTGGAAAGGTATTCATAGAAAAGCTTCAACTGTACATCCCTTATACCAAGTCCTTCAAGCTTTTAGATTAAGAGGGGAATAGAAACTGTGTCAAACGCTTTTTTAATATCTAGGAATATAGCCAAAGTTTTCTTTTTATTATCCATATTAGTAACTATAAAATTCTAGTAACTATATAAAAGTAGTGCATCTGCAGTAGATCTCTTTGACCTAAAACCATATTGAGCCTGTGATATAAGATTACATATCGCTGGGAGTATGGATATAGGTCTGTAGTTGTTGACACAATCTCTACTGCCACTCTTGTGGACGGGCTGGATTCTTGATTTCTTAAACGCATTTGGGAAAGAACCGTTTGATAAAGCTAAGTTACATATAAATGTTATTGGCGCAGTTAGATTTCTACTATATGTTTTTAAAATATTTACAGAAATAAGATCCAACCCAACCGCACAGTCACTCTTCAAATTCCTTATTAATGATTCTATTTCATTATTATCAGTTTCTCAGATTCTTATACATAGCTCTTATAGATACATCTTATTTCAGATTTCTTATACATTTTAAAATACTTAAAGAATCCAAGTTTTTTTTGTTATATGGCCCGCCTGATGGTAAGCTGCCGTCATAGCCTATAGACGCTTGTGATATAAAAAATATCATATGCGCCGTTGCCTACCCTGACCCAATCCCCTACTCCTTGTAGCCCTGGAATTTTACTCACCGACAGAAACACAACACCAAAAAAGGTAGTGTTATTTTACTGTGGTCTTCTGTAAGGTCGAGCTTACTTCCCAACGCGGGCGCTCCAATTCCATTGGAAAATCCGCTATACCCTACCTCTCTTAATTATTATTTCACCACAGTAGGGACTACCTTTTGTCTATCGTAACTTTAGAGTGCATACTTACAAATTAGTAGTCTAACTAAACCTACGCTAAATAACTATTTCTTATATTACAGGAACGATCATCAGCCGGTACAGCAACCTCATTAAGTGTAGGGATTGGAGGCAAATTGACTGTAGGAACAGCACATGGGCAAATTTTATCATTTTTTGAACAGACATTGCGATGGGTCTGTAATTCAAATGTGGAGAAAGGAGCGGTATCCTGTCTATCTTACAATCAGGATAGTACACGCTTATTAGCAGGATATGCACAAGGTTTAATATGTCAATACGAAAGTATAAGAGGTATATTATTGAGACGGGTAACACTAGGTGGAGATATATGGGGTGTCCTGCGAGTGACATGGGCAGGAACATCTGGCTTAGCACTGGACACTGGTGGTTCTGTTTGGCTGATAAAGTTTTCTAGGCCTTTAGGAGTCCGTGCTGCACGTACGTCATGCCTTTTCTCTGGAGCTCGAGGGGAAGTTGTAGCAATGACAGCACGAGATGCTCGTATTCTGGCTTTGGCAACATTATCTCGAGTAATTATTGTGGCTGGTGGCAGAGCAGCAGGCATACGACTCGGAGGTCCACCTGATACACTTCCCGTATTAGAATGGTGTGAAGCTGATGATAAAGTGTTAGTTTGTGGTCGCGCTAAGACACTGCAGTGGTTGTCAGTGACAGTTACTGGTTCATCAATATCTCTTAGGCCGCTACAACGTGTGGAATTAAAATCAACACCTCTATGGCTGGGATGGCTTGGTGGAAATTTAGCCATTTTTGATGCTAACGAGAATCTTAGATTATGGGGAGAAGACTATGATAAGCCTCTCGACTTATCAAATGTTGAGCCAGTTTATGCGTCTGCTTTTTTCAAGGTAAATAAATAAAATATCTTTTTACTTTAGAAAAATGTTGGCAAATATTTAGGGACTATAATAATATATATATTAGTCAATAAATAATAATTGTATCTGACAACTTATTATTTATTGACGGTTCTATGTCACGTGGTGTTTCACATATTATGTAACATTAGCGGTAAAAAAAATATAATTGATATAAGAGATAGTGGGTGCCCGCGACTTCGTCTGCATGCAAAAATTGGTTCCCCATATAAACTTCCACCCCTTTACCTTCTAAATGGCTGATTTCTATAATGAAAACTCACTCACGGGACTCAAACTATCTCTGTACCAAATTTTATCTAAATAGGTTCAGCAGTTACATCTGCCCAACTATTTTTTCACATGTGATGTGACCACCCTTGATATATTTTCGTGAATACTGCATTGTTTACTATGTTGCTCAGGCCTGAAATCGAACTCGGAAAAGGGGCTAATGATGTTTCAAAGACGTCTATAATTATCATACCAGATGATTGTTTTAAAATTCATCATTATCATCATCAGCTTATTAATGTCCCCACTGTTCAAGGCACACGCTTTCCCTATGGATGGAATAGAGAGATTATACCTTGACCCACCACGGTGACCCAGTTCGGTTTGGTGGGTGCTAACGAGTGCAGAAGCAGCCGGGACCAATGTCTTAACGTGCCTTCCGAAGCATGAAGGAGCTCGAGATAGCAAATTATTAATGTATAATTCTTGAAACTGTAGATAACTTCTTTTTTTTTTGGTTTAAGGGCCTGTTTACTGATGGTAGAGTATCACGGGCGATGTGCAAGGCTGGCGTTAGTGCTCTCGGGGGCGTCTGCGTCTTAGAGGGCGCACTGTCGTTGCTAGGGAGGCGCGGTATAGTGAGAGTCAGACCGCGAGACCTCATCGCCAGAGCTAAAGCATTGCTATCGTCAGGCCACCATTTACAAGCACTGAAATTACTTTGCACCACCCAAGGGTCGGAAGTGAAAGCACTAGCTAACCAGTTCATAGTGAATGTATCCGAAAGACCACATTTATTGTCAAACAGAAATATGGCTGAACAAATTATAAAATTGTGTCTGAAACTAAATTTAAGGTGTGTACGTGTAACAATATAAAATAAACTGTTACCTATTTATAAAACGAATGCTCTATCACAAAACGAATTGAACAGTAAAATTTCTAGTGCTGTATTTTGGAAGTACTAAATGGAAAATCAAACTTTTCGAGATAAATTCACAGCGATACATTCTGCAAAATCGTTTTTTAGGGTTCCGTATCTCAAAAGGAAAAAACGGAACCCTTATAGGATCACTTTGTTGTCTGTCCGTCTGTCAAGACCGTTTTTCTCAGGAACGCGTGGAGGTTAGTTAGTTAGTTCTTCAGGGCGGTTTACGCACTTAGTCCTAATTATTGGACCATTGTGCGTGTCTCAAAAACATTCCCGTTTACTCCAGCCAGCCTATATCGGTCCAGAAGGAAAGCAGCCTTGGTAGACTGCTGCAAGCTTCCAGAAATGATTCTGGCGACTGGAGAAGTCGTGCCCCTTGGTCGGCCACACTCCTGCATTCCATGATGACATGCTGTGGCGTTTCGTCTGCCTCCATGCATCCTCTGCATAGGGGGCTGTTTGTCACTCCTATTGTATATAGGTGTTTGTTTAGGGGACAATGACCAGTCAGGGATCCTATAATCCTGCGAAGTTTGTCCCTGTTTAATCTGGTAAGGGTGCGGGCAAAACTTTTATTTGCTGCCGGAACCGCGTTTTTTGTTTGCCGGCATCCTTCACCGGTTTTCCACTCCGTTAAGTGTGATTTCTGAGCCAGCATTTCACGTAGCCACGTTTTAATTTGGGCCTGAGGTATGGGCAGCATAGGTTCCGGACCATACACTTTTGTGTCTGCTCCCTTCTTAGCCAGTTCGTCTGCTGCGTCATTTCCAATTGAGCTGCTGTGTCCTTTTATCCATTGCAGAGTTACCGTGTTGCTACCCGCAATGGATTGAAGTGCCTTGTGGCACTCCATTACTAGGACAGAGTTAATTGTGTTGCTACATAGGGCTTGAAGCACGGATGCACTGTCAGAGATGATCTTGATGTTATACTCTCTGATATCTCTGGGTGCAACCGCCTGTGCCGCTCTGGTAATGCCAATACATTCCGCCTGGAAGATCGTGCTTTGTTTGCCTAAGGTTGTAGATATTTTTATATTCAGGGCGTTTGAGAAGACACCGGCTCCAGTACCACATATCCTAACTTCCCCGGCGCCAGAGTAATCTGCCTTTTCCGCGGTAAGTTGGATGTTGTATCTTCGATCAAAGACGTGTTGACTCAATATTCTATCCATAGGTGCCTCCAGGAGTGGGATCTCCTTCGTGCACTTTTGTAGAATATTGGAGTGTGTTGTTACAGTATTTAATCTCCATAATCCTAGAGATTTTAGTCTTAAGGCTGCTGCTTTCGCCTCTTCTTGTATGACCAGGTCCAATGGTCTTAAATTCATGAACTACTCTAATGCAGCCGATGGAGTTGTTCTCATGCATCCAGTTGCTGCTACGCTCGCCAAGCGTTGTAGACTGGAGTTTGGATTTCACTGTGGTCAGTTGGGTCCTGGGCCACCAAACAACTGAACCATAGGTTATAGAGGGCCTGATGACTGCTGTGTATAACCAAAGGGTGATCTTTGGACTTAGACCCCACTTTTTACCAACTAGTCTTCTACACTGATTAAAAGCTATGCAGGCCTTCTTTGTTTTTAGATCAATGTGACTCGCCCAATTCAGTTTGTTATCAAGGATTACGCCCAGATATTTCACTTGTGTTGATAGGGAGAGTTTGGTATTAAACAGTTTTGGTAACTGTAGTTCAGGTAGCTTCCTTTTGTTGGTGAAAAAGACTAGCTCTGTTTTGTTCCGGTTCACTGACAAGTGATGTTCGTCGCACCATTTCTCCACAATCTGAAGGGCTGAACGCATAACCTTGCAAAGGTCATTTTCAGCGTTCCCATTTATCAGAATTGTTAGGTCGTCCGCATAACCAATAGTAGTGTATCCTTTGTCATTCAGACTCCGTAGGAGACTGTCCACTACTATGTTCCAAAGAAGTGGTGATAGGACTCCCCCTTGGGGGCATCCTCTAACTACCTTCGCACGCGTGGTAGCGTTCCCCACTATCTGAACCGCCCTTTTGCCGACCAGTTCCAACCTCTGGTGACTTGGTCCACCTTGAGTTTTCTTAGGGCGGGGTTAATGCTGTTGTGCATCGTTTTGTCAAAAGCACCTTCTATGTCTATGAAGGCTGCCAGTGTTGAGGTTTTATTTGTGATTGCCGACTCTATTTTGTGGACTACTGAGTGCAGTGCCGACTCTATTGATCTGCCTTTTCTGTAGGCATGTTGTTGAGGGTGCAGCGGAGCCTTACTTAGTGCTCCATCCCTAAGGTGTCGGTCTACCAGTCTTTCCAATGTTTTCAAGAGAAAAGAGGTTAGGCTTATTGGTCTGAAGGATTTGGCTTGTGTATAGTCGTCCTTGCCTGGTTTCGGTAAGAAGACTACTTTTGCCTCCCTCCATGGTTTTGGTATGTACTTGAAGGTCAGGCAGGCCTTAAAGATTGGTTGTAGGTATCTAATTGCCTGACCGAGTTGCCATTGTAGTAGCGCCGGGAATATACCTTCTAGTCCTGCTGACTTAAATGTTTGAAAGCTTTTTAGACCCCATTCTATGTTCTCCGCCGTTACTATTGTTTTTGCCAGGTCCCATTCCTGGGTTGTTGGTGCATTGTGGTGCTCAGTTGACCACTCAAGGCCAGGCGCCAGTTGGCATCCTGGGAAGTGGGTTTCCAGTAGCACCGCATTGGCTTCTTCTTCTGTTTTTGTATAAGTGCCGTCTTCCCTTTTCAGAGACCCAAGGAGGTTGGAGTTATCCTTGGACAGAACTTTCTTGAGTCTGGCAGCTTGATTTGTTGAATTGACACTACTACAGAAACCGCGCCATGCTTCCCTACTCCGGAATCTGATCCGCTTCTTGTATAGTGCAGTCATTGAAGCGAAAAATACGGTCTTACCTCCGAATTTTTTTACTGTGAACCGATTTGCATGAAATTTTGGAATTAGGCTCATCTTACCCTTAAATTCAAAAGTGAAAATGATCTGAACTCCGCCTATTATTTTTAAGGGGTGTAAACAACCCCTTAATGGAAAAATTGACATTGTGCCATTTTATCGCTAGAAAACATGTCCAATAGTAAGTGATGAAATTGTAAAGTATTTTCTAACATAATTACCTCATATTAAAATCATTTTCAACCCCTTGAAAATCTTACAACCCTTGCAAACAACCCCTAAATTGGAAAAATCACAAAAAAAATACTTTGGTATGACATAAAAAGATTTAAGTATAGTGTAAGTAATATTTTATATTCTCTATAATAATTATCAAATTGTTAACCCCCTTTTAACCCTTGAAAACTACCCCTAACTAAAATTGTTAATTTTTTTTTGATAAAATGAAAAGGATTTAAATATTATTCCACACTCTCGAAAATGATTATCATATTCTTAAGCTTTTCTACCCTTAAAACTACCCCTAATTTGGTGAAAATTACCACAATTGACAATTGACACCTTGTACGAGCCGACTCGTACAGTTTTTGTCTAGTTAGCACTTTACGCCACATTCGTTAATTTAGGTCACGCTCACATCAGTCTGCCATCGGTATTCATTCTAGCCGCGCATATTCATATCAACTATCATATCATTCTTATAAGTATAATTTGTTTAATATATCATTTATTTTATATCAGGACTTTCACTTTATCAACTCTTATCATAAAAAGGTGTGCAAACCGTACATCTTTTTTGGTCCTTCGAATAAGGACTCGCGAGTGACTCAGTGAATACGTGGATTCAGTGAAACGTGACTCTGTGTTGCAAGTGAGACTGTTATCCAGCAAAGTTACTGAAGGAATTTTCTTCTGCGTACATCAAGTCGCAACGGCAGAAGGAGCGTGTAACCATCAAAAACGGTTTGAGTACCAGCATCCAAGTAAGGCGTATCTTTTATTTTTTCTCTCTTAACACCAATTTTCTATCAAGATGTCGGCCGAAGATTTATTTTATTTATTTATTTATACTTAATGCATAAGTGTACAAAGGCGGACTTAATGCCATAGGCATTCTCTACCAGTCAACCATAGGGTGTTGTGGATAAATAGTGGTAGGGTGCACAACTTACATGGAAATTACAGAAAGAACATATATAAATATGAAGCAGTCATATATATAATCACATACATAAATAATTACTTACATATAAATAACTATACATATACATACATACACATAAATATACATACTAATACATAATAATGACGACTTAAGTTCCTGTAAAAAGCTTCGTAGCTTGGTTTTGAAGCTAATTTTGTTGGTGGACATTCTAATATCTAGGGGGAGTTCGTTCCACAAGAGTATAGTTTTAACGAAGAAGGACGAGTGAATTATATTAGAGCGATGAGATGGAACAATAAGTAAGCGATTAGAAGAAGATCGAAGATTTTTAGCATGAGAGGTACATAAGTACTGAAATTGGGAAGTGAGATAGAAAGGAGTATTTGGAGATTCCAATAAGGAGAACAGAGTGGTCAGAGCCCGCATACTTCTGCGCTGCCTAATAGGAATCCATTTTAGAAGAGATCGGTATGCGGACACATGGTCATATTTTCTAAGATTGAAAACAAATCGAATGCAGTTATTCTGAAGTCGATCAAATTTATTGAGTAGATCTGCATTCAGATCGAGGTAGCACACATCACCATAGTCGATTATGGGTAAAATCAAAGTTTGCACAAGCGTTGCCTTGATGTTGATCGCCAAAAAATTTTTCAAGCGGTAGAGAGCACGCAATGTACTAGTTACCTTTTGACAGACTCTACCAACCTGATCCTGCCATTTGAAATTTGAGTCGACATACAATCCGAGATTTTTTGCTGCATTACTAAAAGGTATCAAAGTGCCGTCATAGAAGATAGATCCAAGATTGTTGTTGTCATTTCTGCTCATCATTCTTGATCCACCGATTAATATAGCTTGACATTTACCAGC